CTAATTCACATCCATTCTAAACTAACGCATGAAAAAATAGGAAAATAATTCTGAATTTGTTTATTAAGAAAAATTATGTAAAGTATCACAATATGTCTTCCCAACAAACCAAAATCCATTCTTTCAAATGGTGTTACACGTTGGAAGTCTTCTGGGCCTAACGAAAAATTAATTAGTAAATGTATCTCAGTTGAGATACGATATCTTAAGATTCAAATTAAGTGTGTTGAATATTGTGGAAAGCCTTCTTGAAGAAACATCAAGAATCAGTCCATGCTGTTCACAAACAAACAGTTGATGAATAAAGGTCAGATTCAATACAGGCCAAGTACCCAAGAATATCACTTTGTCTTAAACAAAAAACACACCCCACACACTTCTGGAACACAACATTTAAGGGATCTGCCCTAAAATCATTCACTCACCTCAATTTGTACCATCAACCCAACTTTAAGGTTGCCCCTTACGTTTTGCAAAACATACATATATGTTTAAAAATAAAATGCTATGAGACTTTTTAATTAAGTAGGAAATACAATTTTATGATCTACTAATTATTTACTTTGACTTTTCGCTATGTTTTTGGAAATTTTAAGCAGCAATGTTATTATTGGACAGGCATGGGTGGCTGTGAATTTTTAAGATAGCTTGATCCAACTAACAAAACTATAATGATTAATTTCTTACAGGAAACATTACTTACTGGCTAAGCCTTTGGAAACTGAAAGCCTAATCCCATCACTTCTCTGAGTAAGAAAGGGAAACAGAATGCTGAGAAATGTGGTAACCGTAACAGCAATTCAGAAAACTGCCCGGAGTTGGCAGAAGAAGGGATGCTAAGAGTTGTTTCAACCCATTAAGTTTCCATGCCAACCATTCTGGAAATAAAAAAGGCTCCAAAACAGAACTTCAGGTAAAATTTCAGAGCATCACAACTTTAAACCTCCTTTTCTGATTTCTTTCAAACTTCTCAAAAAAAAAAAAAGTTATCAGGGGGACGACACAATGTACTAAGTTCCAGGAAAAGGATTTTAGAGTTTTACAGAGGGGGTGAGAGGAGGAGGAGGTGTTAATATTGTGAAAATTTGGTCGCATAATGGGAAAATAGCTTCACTTTTAATGATGGAGAGACTGTTTTACCAGAACAAGCAAAGCTACAAAAACATCAATTTCAAGGGAAAGACATTACCTCATTGTAATACTAAGAACAAGACAAACAGAATTTTTATTTTGCCAATACTAACAGTAAAAAAAAAAAAGTGTTATTTAAATAATAGCTAATTTCTAGAAAATGTGTGAAGCTTTATGTTGTACTTGAGAAATCATATGAAATCCCACTATCATATCCCAAACAGCAACATATATCCATTGTCCATATCTCAAAAATATAAAGCCATAATTAAATGGCTTGGCAAAACTGGTGATTTTAATCTCTAGTAAAAAAAAATTATTAAAGGAACAATTTCTTCACCATAAAATATAAAAACACCATAAAATTGATTTTAAAATAGATATTTTGATAAGCAAATACAGTTCCACTGAACAATTTAGTTAAAACTGAATAATCTGAAAGCAAACCTTAATAAAAAGTTGTAAGCAGTTTAAAATGCCCCACTTCTCTATTTATTCCATTTTTCTGCCAAACCTGCATTTAAGGGGGAGGGGTGCACTGTGTATGTACAGTACTAAACATTACATATCTGAGAAACAGTATTTTGGTCTTTAAAATTAAGTTAAGTATTCCAAAAGTAGTTTTGCAAGAGTACAAAAAATACAATTACAAAGTTAAAGAGACTATAATCTAAAACAAACTAAAGTAATCTTTGGTCAAGTCAAGTACTTGTCAATTCACAATGTTCTCTCAATAACAGCAATTTTATATAAAGATATGGAATCAAGGTTTGGTGACGGAATCTGTTAATCCTAAACAAGAAATATAATAATGTAGAAGTGTACTTAATTGGGAATAAGAACCAAAGTCATGGAGAAAGTGACATGATCTCCATTTTCACTGTTTTAATATCCTATTTATTAAATAGTATAAATATTTGTGTAGATGCACAAAATTATAAGACAGCATTCTGCTGTGGAAAATTGAATACTGCTAATCTTAAATTCAGTACAAGATTCTCTTTTCTTGACATACAATGTAATACAAGCCAGGCCACTATGAACGTCCATAAAGGTCAACCCTTTAAACACATTCATAGATAAACTGAAACCAGTACAATATACACTGAAGTTAATGGAAACCCTAAGCTTTAATCCAAGGGCAGAATTAGTCCTTTGGCTGCTGCCCCTGAGTATCAGGCTTATGTCGCTCGTGATGGTGGACAGCAATGGTCTCCAACCTTTTTAACCACAAGATCACTTTTTGAATTGAAATGCAATCCAGGATCTCTCTCAAACCCAAACACCCTTGCCCCACTTCCTTCCCACCCCTTCTCCGAGGCCCTGCCTCTCTCACCCCATCCTCATTCACTTTTATCAGGCAGCGGGCTGGGGTGAGGGAAGGGGGATGCAGGCTTTGATCCTGGGCTAAAGGATTTGGAGTGAGGGAAGGACTCTGAGCTGAGCCTGGGGCAGGGAGTTGAGGTGCAGGAAAGGGGTTCAGGGTACAGGCTCTGGAAGAGAGTTTGGGTGCAGGGGGACTCAGAGCTAGGACAGGGCTTCAGGGTGCAGGAGGGGTTCAGGACTGGTGCCAGAGTTCTGAATGCAGGCTCCAGCCGGGCACCACTTGCCACAGGTGGCTTCTGGATGGTGGTGGAGTGGTGCTAAGGCAGACTCACCCCTACCTTAGCCCTGCACCAGTCCCAAAAGCAATCAGCAAACTCTCTTCATCCCTGTCCCCATTCTGCTCTGTGGAGATGCGGTATGGGGGGGGAGGGGCGAGGGTGAAGAAGGGCACACAGATATCAGCACACCCTCCTTTTCACCAAGCCCTGCACAGAAAGCAGGAGGCTCCCACGGGGTGGGAGGCAGATCCAAGGCAAATGGCAGGACCAGCCTGGCAGTGCTGAGAGCGGCAGATGAAGTGCCGGCCTCCGGGCAAAATCTGTCAGGATTACCTGTCAAAGGCTCCAAGATCTACCAGGAGCTCCCAATCTACTCGATGACCACTGGTCTACAGTAATAACTTTTCAGATGTAACAAACACACAGACAACAGTGACAAGACTGATTCACCATGGATAGTGTACTGCTGAAAAGACTATGATAATCACAAGTTACTGCAGTAATTTATTGGCAAATTGATTAAGGAACTCCTGCATCAATTACATGAGATGTACTATTTTAAAAAAAGAGTTCAACAGCTTCAAATATCCCACATCCAGACCACACTCTCCATGTCTTCTCCTAGTCTTACACCTCATGAACACCAGTGACAAATCATGTCATACGCTTTCTAGCCTACACCATACTAATTCATTTCCCACTCCAAGTTAACTACTATGTAACGTCACCAGAATTCCTATAACCACAAATGATACCTGCATGAGATACTGTAATTAAATTTAGAATTTATGTGCACAAATTACAGCATTATGAAGATTTGAATAATAATATTGTATGAAAAGCGATGCAAAAGCACAACATTTTTAATTGCTCAGACATTAAACAAAAGTGTCTGAAATCACCAATCTCATTCAAGATGAAATACTGTTCTGACCATGCTGTTTTACTTGCCTAAAACCAGCATTTTCCAAAACCACAGGAACAGTTCACGCTTTGTTGCAAATATAAATGCTATCACAGAATGAAGTCAATTCAAAAAGAAAAATCTATGTTGCAAAATTACAGCCCAATTCATGTACTACAAGACATATGTAAGCTGATAGTGAGCACTGCTGTAGAATTTTTTAAATTTCTGATGGCAATTAAATAAAAACTCTGACCTAATTACTCTTATTACAATATTTTGTAAATTACAATTTGCTAAATACAATTTAGATTTGAGACAAAAAGTGATAATGATTTGGAACTTTGTGGTTTTACAAATTAAAATTTTTGGTTTTGTGCTACAGTGGCCAGCTTCTCTCATGAAAACTTGTCAGTACGTTTTTAGTTAAAACCTTTTGAAGTCTAGTACAAATAATTGATTTCAGGGATAGAACAGATAGCTTCTGGTAAACAAACATTTTAATTATGGTATCTACTAAAATATTTGTTTTGTTCCACAGCTTATTACTTCTTATAAAATGGCTTCCCTTAAATATGACAGGTATTATCTTAAACATTTCAGATCTAACACTGGACTTAAGGTATCCTTACTGTCTAAGATTCAGTAGAGAATGCTTTACAGACACACAAAACACACTGTATTTTTTACTTCAATTTGTACCTCTGAACCTCTCAATTGTAGAGGAATTAGCACATTTCTTGTCTTGACAACCACCACAAAAATCCTGTTACTGTTAATAAGAGTTACACAGGCACAGTTGGAGAATCACCTCCTGCTTTAGAACAGGACTGCACGTCTGAAACACTTTATTCCACTGCATCCTCTGCTCTTAACAAAGGTTTCTCAGAAGTGGATAAGCTAGCCAAGTGTCAAACAGAAATCTATTTTGCAAGGAGGAATAAATATTGTTTTAGTGCTAGGAGATCTTATCATTATCCATTTTTAAAGTAATTTCACATTTTCAAAACACTATTGTGATTTCATACAATACCAAAGCCCTAACTTCATTAAGCCTTAATAGTAAGAATATTTAAATCAGATACATGTAGAGTTCAACTATGCCTTTGAGTAACACCACAACACATACAAACAGAATACACTCCTGCCAAATTAGTCAGCATGCTCATCCTGTCTTTTTGAAACAAGCAACAGTTCCAAAGCTCATTAAACACCATAAGCTTCCCAAAGTGAGTCAGCTTCTGTTAGATACCAAAAGTTTCTATAATAACTATTTCACCTCTAATATTTTTTAAGTTTCATGAACAGGAAAACAGGCAGTAAGGAGTAAAAGTGCTGTCAAAAGAAACAAAATTAGTTACCTCATTAGTATTCCAACGGTGCCTCTCTTTTGGTAAACTTGAACATTTTGGTAGACATTCAAGCAGCTTCTTCGGTAAAAAGATTTTTACATGACTGCCATTGCTGTTCCCATGATCATCTAAAAAGAAAGAAAATACAAATGATGCATTTAATATTAGGGGGGAAATTGTTACAGTAAAAATCAATTAACGAGACCTGAAAATCCACTTGCCCTCTTGCCACTGAAGAGCAGGTAGTTTTCCGTGGCAAGTTGTAATAGGAAAACCACTAACAATGTTTGTGGGAATTTAAGATTTCGTTTTAAAAACAAGAAACAGCTATCCCTTATGATGGCAAAAAGGTAACCTTCTAAATACCAACTGAATTCAAGCTGAAGCAATGCCAGCTTTCAAAGGCCTGGTATACATGAGATATAGTAATGTTGCTTAAGGTGTCATTTGTAATAACATATTTATAGCTGCAGCAAAGTTTATCTCGTTCCCACGGCTTTGTGTGTGGTCCCTGCACCACCCCCAATGCCCCCAGGGAGCGGGAGGCAGCTCTTGGGGACCCTGGGGGCGGTTCCTCCCTCCCCCACATGCCAGCAGGGCTGGGGTGGGTGGAGCAGCAACTGCATGCATGTGGGGAGGGTGGGGAACTGGGGTGGCTCTCGGACACCGGGTGTGAATGTGAGTCGGGATTTTCTCACACCCTCCTCCCTGCCCCATGCATCCAGAAGCCAGAGCTCGTGCTCCAAACCTTGTGGCTGAGCGAGCTCCGGGGCAGGGAGGGGTTGAGCTGCTGCTGCTGATTCCACATGCCACTGAAAATCGTCTTACTTGCCACTTGCGGCACACATGCCATAGGTTGCTGACCCCTGGTCTATGCTGTACATATTCTGTGGATAAGTGCATAGCTTTCACTCGATTAGAGGATCTACTACTAGCAGGAAATCTCTCCAGTGACTGGTGATAGGACACTTGATGGAGAGGGCTGAGTTGTTACAGAGAATTCTTTCTCAAGTGTCAGGCTGCTGGGTTTTGCCCACATGGTCTAACTGAGCAACATATTTGGAGTCAGGAAGGAATTTTCCCTCTATCAGGTTGGCAGAGATCCTGATGGTTTTCGCCGCCTTCTGCAGCAGGTCCTAATTGACTAATTGACAAGCATCACATTCACAACAGTTTTCTTCTTTGTTCATGCTTTCTTTTTTTATGCCCTACTCCAATGGTCTCCGACCTTTTTATGCCCAAGATCACTTTTTAAATCTCAGAACAAGTGAAGATCTACCGCCCCGCCCCTTCCTTGAAGCCCCACCCCTTCCTTGAAGCCCCGCCCTCTCTATTCTCCTCCTGTCCATCACTTGCTATCCCCAGCCCTTACTTACACACTCTGATAAACAGTTTATTTTTAAATTATGCGATACATACAATTAAAATCACGTGTTTATAGTTATGAAATAAATGGTCTGTTTTTTATTCATGCTATTTAAATCTAAAATGAAGCATTTATAATTATACATTTTGTGGGGACAGTTCTGCGGGTGGGGGCAGGGAAGAGGGGGCAGGGTGCTGGGAGGGCAGAGGACAGGGTTCTGCAGCAGGGGACAGAGTGCCAGTGGGGAAAAAGTTCGGGGAGTGAGGACGGGAATAGGGACAGAATTCTGTGTTTGGGGACAGTGTTCGGGGAGTGGGGAGAGGAGCGGGGACAGAGTTCTGTGGCTGGGGACAGGAGAGCGGGGACAGAGTTCAGGAAGTGGGGACAGCGTTCTGTAGCTGGGGACAGAGGAGTGGGGACAGAATTCTGTGGCTAGGGACAGGGGAGTGGGGACCAGGGACAGAGTTTGGGGAGTGGGGAGCCAGTGAAGGCAGAGAGGCCCCTGCATCTGCCTCTTCCCAGGATTCCCCCCTCCCCCAGAGGAAAACCAGCGCACGCCTGCCCCGGGGCCGACTCACCCCTCCTGTGCGGTGCAGGGAGCTGATGCTCCCTCCCGCAGTACACCCGGCAGAGCAGCTAGCACACTTCTGGAATTGTTGTACGTGGTGCTAAGCTGCAAGACTTGTGTCCATCCCCGGGAAGCTAACACTACCTCCATTTTCACTTGAGGTAGGTAGTGGGGCTTCTCAGAGGTGGTAGGGAAATGGGGGCGGGGCAGACAGGACGCCTCACGATCGACTGGTCAAGGCCTCTCGATCGACCAGTCGATCACGATCGACCTGTTGGTGACCATGGTGGTACAGCGAGAGAAACAAATGGTATAACTCGAAAGCTCTCACCAACATAAGTTGGTCCAATACAAGATCTCTCAAACACCTTATGTGTCTAATATTCTGGAACTGACATGGCTGCAACTTAGATAAATGGGCTCAACGAATAGCTGATGCAATTTGCACTGATTATTTGATTAGCTGATAAGGGCGCTTTCGCCTTTGAAAAGTAACAGCCCTACACTTCAAAAGCAAAAGTGCTGCAGGAGCACAGGGCCAGTGGGAGACTCAGGCAGTCCCCTGCTGGCCCCGTGCTCCCTGCAGCATTTCAAAGCAGCAGTGCCATATGGAGCCCAGGATCAGTTGGAAGTCCCCAGCTAAGCCTGGGCTCCACGCAGCCTTTCAAAGCGGCAGCACTACATGGAGCCCAGGTTCTGGCACCAGGCTCCATGAAGCGCTGCTGCTCTGAAGCATCCCCCCCCCCTTTTGCGATAGAGCCAGCGGGGGGTTGGGGGAAAGGGAGAGCAATTAGTCAACTAGTGTGTCGACTATCCGATAAGCATTTGCTTATCAGATAGCCGACTAGTCTACATCCCTATGCAATTCCACTACTGATTTACAGGTATAGATTATTTTCCCCAGGGAATATAAATTACACTGGAAAAAACACTTTTTTGCCAATATAAACCGCATGTACACTGGGAGGATGTGTCAGTATTGCTATACTGGCCAATCTCTTTTAGTATATATACCTGGCCTAGACCTGCAGACATTACCTCTTCAGCTACTGAAACAGCTTTGCCAAGCTGCAGCAAAGAGAACTCAGTCTTGTAAACTTCCACTAGCTATTGAAATGTTTGTGTGAAGGCCATATGACCAGAACCGGGTCTGTTTCACTCTGCAGCCACTTAGGAAAGCACAAGAGTTTCATAGGACAGGTCATGTAAGTAGACGATGGGAGACATGCTCCCAACCATCAACATAGAGGCTTTGTCTACACTGCAGGGTTTTTGCACAAGACGTTTTTGCGGAAGAGTATACACACCTCAAAGTGCATCGCAAAAGTGCATGTACTTTTGCACAAGAGAGCGTCCACACTGCATGGACATTCTTGTGCAAGAAAACTGATTGCCATTCACAGAACGGCCATCAGAGCACCCGAGCTTTTTGTGATACACTCTTTTTTTGAGCATCCCCACAAACCTTTTTGTGCAAGAACTCTTGCGCAAAAAGGAGTTATGCCTCGCAGAAGGAGGTATACCTTCACCACAGAAAGCCCTCTGTTCTGTCGACTAACTGTAGATTTTCTTGCACAAAAATGCGCTTGAGGTGTGGACGCTCCGCAGGTTTTTGTGCAAAAACCCTGTAGTGTAGACATAGCCAGAGTGTCTTCACTAGACATGCTCTAGCGGCACAACTGAAATAGCACTTCTATCATAGACCTGCTCTCAGAGTGCATGACCCAGACTGGCACCGGGGGAGGCAGAATGATGGAAGTCTTCCACCATGAAAAAGGAGGAAGAGACACAAAATTATCCTCTCCAGTAACCTCCAGGGTTGGACCCTCACATTTATTAGCTGAGTTCATGGCAACACTCTAGCAGAAATCCTGGTATCATTAACATTTTCAGTAACATCTAAAGGTTTCAATAACGATCCAAACTCATTTGTGCTGAAGTTTGTGTATACAAAAGCAAGAATCTGTCTTTAGGTTAGCAGCTAACGGGATCAAGACATAACATAAAAGCCAAGTGTTCTAGATAATAACAGGGACAAGTTTCATTAGTTCTCTCTCACCTCATTTACAGGCAGTCCCCGGGTTACATGGATCCGACTTACATCGGATCCCTACTCACAAACGGGGTGAGGCAACCCTGCACTAGCTGCTTCCCCCCAGCAGACCAGGGAGACGCGGAGCGGCTTTTCTCAGCAGACACCTCAGCTTGAGAATAAAGGACTGAGGGAAGTGAGGTATGGGAGAATAAAACTGAGCTCTGGAGAAATGTTTGGCTAGAGTTTCCCCTACAATACGTACCAGTTCCGACTTACATACAAATTCAACTTAAGAACAAACCCACAGTCCCTATCTCGTACGTAACCCGGGGACTGCCTGTACTTGTTTTCTTGTCCATCTTAAGATAGACAGTATACAGAGTGAGAAGAGTCAAAATATGTATGATTTCATACATGTTTTTACATACAGTTGACACGGCTCAATTCCCCAACCTAGCACTTCGAGTGTAGATATGGGGGGCTGGCAGAATAAACTCTATAAGAACCTGTCTAACTCCCAGAGACAAACTTGCCCAGTCTCAGTTTCCCTGAGACCCTAAAGGAAGATGATCGGTGGCTGCCACCACCCAAGTGAACTTAAAACAATATAAAATAAACTCTTATCTAGGGAAGAGATCACTTGGGAATCCCCTCTCGAAGGCATAGCTCTCCCAATCTCCATTTTGCTTGGAGTTGGGAAAACAGAGAGAAACCCAGAGAACAATGGGGCTCTGCTCCTCCCAGGTAACTTAGGCATGTAGGCTTAAGGACACAATCAATCAATCAATCAATACTGGTTAATCAAAACAAAAATAAAAACACTTTTATTGTCAAAACAAAACTGCTGTTGCAAGCATAGTAACTGACTGGGTGTTAAAGCCATGAAGTGAAATAGACCTAGGGGAAATCCCAGGGCTATAATCCTTAGTTACAAAAAACAATTAACCAGCTCAGACATGATTTCCAAGCCCCCCAAACAAGGAAAACAATAAAATCTGACAGACTATCTAAACTTTTCCCTACTTACACATTTCAAGGAATCCATTCCTGGGAGAGCCCGACTCCCTTGTTACCTGGGGAAAAAACTGTTCTGCTTTCAAAACAAAAAGGGAAGGGGGGAAAAAACCCTCTCTTGGTTTGAAATTCCAATCTGCATCTCATTGGCTGAATGCCCGAAGCCCC